TTAGACTCTTCAGTTACCTTCAGGTCAGTCTTGATGACATTCGAAAACCAAACCCTTGACCAACCAAAGACTGAAGGCTTCCTTCAGCTTAGGGACCTCAGTGCTCAGGGACATGGTTTAGGGTAGTATTGGCAGTGCTGGGGTGGTGGGTGTCTTAAAGGTCTTTTTCAACCAAAACAATTCTATGATTCTATGATTCCTCTCTAACTTGGTTGTCACAGCTAAAGAGGTTACTTGGATCTTTGGGGCTGGAGTGGAAAGGGGACCGAATAAGAAGCAATCCATTCACTTGTTGTCCTTTAGATATGGCCTTGTTTTGAGATCTCAAACCATTCCTCAACAAGTCGTGATGCCTTGGGATACTTCCTCCCCTATGAATATATCTAACAGGACATTGCAGACAGTATGTAGTTCACAGCATATCCATTATTCACAGCATATTTTTGGTTAACTATCAGCCTGCCATCAGGGGAAAATTAACTGAGAAATTTATCTCCACATCAGACTTAACTCATTATCACACACAGAGGAATCCTCTGGCTCAGGTGCAGGAGTGTTTAAGTTGAGGTTGGCTCATCCCAAACCTACTCAGCTTGACGGGGAATGCCTTCTCTGGGGAGTGAGGACAATGGCTAACCCACCCCTGCTGCTTGTCCTCCAGTTCCTGGCAAAGACCAGTCAAATTTTCTAAACTAACAGACAGGGAAAAGCATCTTTGCCCCTGCAAAAAAAGGACAAGCCCTGTTCATAAAAGGACTCCAGACGTGGCACCGAAAGAGTGAGGACATGATAAACCAGATAGGACTCTGTTTTGGGAGGGACAACAAAATTTGGCTATGCCATTTGCAAACACCACCAGGATATCTCTGCAGCCAACATGCACCTATAGCTGAGATGTCCAAAATCCCTTTTAGTGCCCAAGTTGTATCACTCTGCTTAAAAAAGTGGACCCCTCCCCCCAGACAGGCTGAAGCTAATGTGGTTTTTCCTTAAACACGTGAGCAGCTCCAGACCATTCGCTGCGGGCTGCAGAGAGCGCAGACACCTCGCAAAATCCCAGATATTCCCACACAGGGCTTTGCATATTGAAGGCTTACACTGCAGACCTCTTTCCGATCAACAGCAGGTTACAGAGGAGACGGGCTCAGCATCGGTGGACAGACGGTCCTTTTTTGGGTGGGAAACCTTGCGCTGAAAACTGTAGCCTCATGCAGGCGAATTCCCAGCAAAAGCGTTGCGTAAAGCACTCGTGACATGAGTGGAAGGACATCAGAGGTTCTGCTAAATCTCATTAAGTCTTAAAGTAGCCACATGAAGAAAATTATGTAAAAGGAAGCCTCTTTAAGAGGAGATTTATGCTGAAAACCTGCAATCCCTCTCACCTCACTAACTGCCTAGCAGTTGGGTGTCTCCTTTAAGCTGGTTATGTGTGCTCCTCTGCATTCAGCGCAGAGGAACAGGCACCTCTGCAGGGTGAAGTGGGTTAAGGATGGTTTATTCTGCAAGAAGTGAGGTGGATTATCTGCTAGGAGCGATTATGAAATGAAGATCTGGGTTGCTGGGCTTTTGTTGTTGTTAATATGATGTTTCCCCTTGCAAATACATCATGTTATTTAAATCAGGGAAGTCCTCTGGCCAGTGCTGTCCAGGAACCTGAGAGAAAGACAGCCTTTCATCCCCCCCTTCTCCAAAATCTCGGGGACAGTTACAGTGATTGACAGACAAGGCTGCATCCTCCTCAGAGTCCCATCACCTCCTTCTGCCTAACCCTAAGGGTAGGTCTAAATGCATCACCTAGCTTCTGCCTAGATTCCCTGGAGAAAGGTGGGCATCTCATCTCACCCCCTTCAGCTGCTTTGGACACTGCCTGATCCATGTTTTGGAGGCATCCTTCCTCCCTCGCCCTCCACTGGCTCTGTTTTGGACCCAGACAGCTGTGGTTGGAGCCGAAAGGGACATCAGTTCCTTCCACATGAATATTCAGGAGGTGATATTGACCCATTTGTCCCACAGCACAAAGTACTCCATCTCAGGCTCTCAGTGTGCACCTCCCAGGGCAGATCTGCTCACCGACGGAGCACATGGAGTTCTTCCTTCCTTCCTTGTGCTATTTTCTGCTCTTCCCAGGTTATCAGGTAATGGCAGCTAATCTGGGATCCAGTCTGCCCTGCGCTAGGGATGTGATGAAGGAACAAATCCTGACCATGAAATCCCACGGGTGTTGTCCCCAAGCTTTACTGAAGCTAGGACTTGACCTCGGGTTCCAACACCAGGACTGCTGCAGGTGGTGGTGTCAGACCATGCAGGAGATGCTAAGTCTCGGGTGAGCAGTGGCCCATTAGTGGAACTGGCCTGTTCTTTGAGCGCTGGAGGACCCATTGCCCACCCAATAGATAGGGCAACCAGGAAATGAAGCCTGATGGCATCCCCTTGGCTCATCCTCGCAGTGCTCCTCTGCTCACAGCAGCCACAATAGGCAAAATCAGCCCTTTCTGTCACCATGCTCCTAAATTATATCTCTGGGTTTGAGTACAGACCTCCAGTGGATTCACTCTTCTCACCTCGTAACATGAGAACTAGGAGAAAAAAGCAAAACTTCCTGGTAGCTATTCCAATAACTCCCTTTCTACAGCTTCTTAAATAGGGGAAAGAGACATCAGCTGACCATTTGGAGAAGACTAGAGCCTGGCTTGGGCTCCTGCCCTGGGCTTGGCATTGCAGTCTTAAGAGCAGGGAGGCCTGGGCCTCGGAGGGGGAATGTGTGCCATATAAAATGGTAAACTGACCTTGTTCTAGCACTAGATGTATCTGTAAGAGGCTGTGTGAACCCTGTGGAAACAGCTGGAGTCTGGACATACCAGCACGGGCTGTACCTGGGTCTATAAGCCCTGCCTGGGCCAATTTGCTAGTGTGCATCCCTCAGTGATGCAGCTGATCCTGTCCCTGTTTAGAGGCAGAACTGGCCTCTTCCTGTGCTGTGTGACGGAGCCATGCTCACACGGCCAGCCAGGAGAGACTTGATTTGATTTTTAAACACACTGCCTTCCTAACAGTATCCATCTTCCTTTGGTTTCTGCTTGCTTTAAGGGAAATCTTTGATGTTCCCTTTCATAGCGGCTCCTCTCAGCATTTAATTTCCTTTTACATAATTATGCACTGGCCGGGAGGAGGAGGAAGACAAAATTGCTCCAGGAAACCTTGCACCTGAGTCAGGAGCGCTGAGCAAGCTCTGCTGCTCATACCCATCAGCACGCAGCCCTAAGATGCACGACCGCATCTCTGGCACAAGCCGGGGGGAGACGGGGAGAGGGTGCACTGGGGACCCGGAGAGCTCGGCTGCTGGAGCGTGGCTGGCAAAGAGCCCTCCAGGGCTCGGGAAGGCAGGCGGGGACGTGCGCTGCCTTGGAAGAGAGCACAGCTTGCTCGGTGTGGTGGAGGAACGGAGGAACTGCATAGCTGAAGAGAAGGGGGGCTGGAAAACGATGCAGCTTGTTCGGTGGATTAGGCAGCCATGCCTGGAAGTGGCAAAATGAAAGAGACACAGATTTGAAAGCCTAAAGGGATTATTCGGCTGTGTTGTCTGACTTCCAGCACAAGAGAGGCCGGCAAACTTCACGCAGTGATTTCTGCAGCGAGTCCAACAAACTGCGTAACACCCTGGCAAGCCTCTCCGGTTATGATTTATACATTTCTAGTAGGGTTAATAATGTTGGAAGCAGCAGGAAAAGGGTGCTGGCAATGTGAGCGGATCTAGCAGGAGCTGAAGAAAGGCATGTTCATCACGGCAGCACTCTGGAGACCTGGAGAGCTTGTGATGAGAGTTTTTGGGAAAAGACTGCGTAAATAGGAGAAGGGAGGCCTCTAGGAGCAACTATGATGGACATACTTAAAGTATGGAGCAAGGAGAGAGCACTCTGATTTACACATGTTCTAGGTAGTGGTGACCTTGGTTGGTCCAACCAGCAAAATTTAACCCTGAAGAACTGCCAAATTCTAATCTCAGCTCCAAGAAACTCCTCAGGTCTGCCAGAAATGGCATGTCACAAACAAGCTGTCCTTGAGAAGCACAATCCGAGTGTCATCCCCAGTGTGTGGATTGAGCAGCGGCTGACTAACCCAGCAATTCACCAGCTGATACTGCTGTTGGTCCTTGGAAAGGATAATTTTCCCTCGAGCTGGTGATCCTTAGGCAGACAGCGTTCCCATGGGCATGGGCTGGTAGAGCTGCTGACCTCAGGGCTGGGACAGGGGCACACGCCCCTTGACTGGGGTGGATGCCCCATGCTCCAGGGCATCACTGCAGCAAAGGACATCAGAATTGCCAAATTCTTCTCTGTGGTTGTTTCCAAGCCTCTGCTCCTGTATCTATCTTTGCAATGACACCTCCACTACGACATCTCCATCCCTACACCATTCCCTCCACTGCCTTCCCCCCTCTCATTTGCTGAGAACCATGGTACCAATGACTAAACCTTAATCCCTGGCCACTCCAGAAAAGGTCCTACAGCATCTAGCTATGAAAAAAACCCCTTATACAACACTTCACACCATCAGAGCATTACACAGGCATCGAAACATTTGTCCTCACTATACAAATACAAATCTGGCCAGTTTTACCATCCTACTTATGTAGAGAGGGAAACTGAGGCAGGGCATGACTGTGTTTGCCCCGTGCCAGACAGCAAACAAATAGGGACATTCGCCACAGCAGCAGCAACTGTCTGCCTCCTCCTGACAACATTTCTTTAGACTGGACTGGGTGTAGAAGAGATGAATCTCATCTTTGACTGGTACCATGTTTTTTTCTGAATGGAACGAGCAGAAGTTTTACCCAGCGAACGCAGCGTGGAGCTGGAATGAGATTTGTCCCAAGTGGCAGCCCCTTACGCGCCAGGTTGCGTAGGGCGGACAGTTAGCAAAACATCCATCGGCAGCTGAGCACGGGATCAGAGGGGAGAAGCCAGGAGGATGGGGAAGGGGGTAACGAGGTGGCCACTTACATGGTAATGTTTCTGCACGGTTCTTTTGGATCATTATGCAGAGCTGTAGCACCAGTTGAGGGGCGCTCTCGAGGAAAGTTTCCAGGAGGCGCAACATATTTACGTCTGCATATTCGTACATCATAGCCCAGTAGAAACGCCGCTGGTGTTCCTTCCGCCTCTGGCTCTGGATCCCCAGGTACATAGTTCGGATATACCTGCAGGAAACAGGAGGAAAAGCTGAGCGTGAGACTTTGGCATGCATCAAAACCTGAGGAGGATGGGGCTGGGGGACAGTGGTTTGGGGAGAAGGAGGTTGTCTGGGGGAAAGGGAGCCTGGGAATTCTATGTAGCTCCAACACCTTCTCCTGCAATATTTGGTATTGGCTTCCACCACCCAACTGTGGAGTGTGGGGATGGGAAATGCCTATACCTGCACAGGAAAATAACTCCCTCACTTTGTTCTCATGGTGAGAGGAGAAGCTACTTGACCAGTGCTGGTCCTGACACTTGTCAGCAGCTTGACAGATCACCCAAGCCCCTTCAGCACTGTAGTGAGGAACTTCCCTCACGGACCCCAGAGATTTGACCCTATTTCATCACAGGTCGAGCATTCAGACACCACCTTCACCTTCAGCACGTGTGTGACCCACAATTGCAAAAGGCCACGGCTCACCACTGGTGAGGTATCGAGCCTTTGGGCAATGTTGGACTAGAAGGAGGTGTCCCATGCATGGACAGGTACTGCTCTGTCCCCTCTGTTTCCATGTCAGGTGTGCGAGGAGACCTGCAAACCTCCCCTGGGGACACAACTTCTCTTTGGGGAATCTTTGGCCAACCTTTGCAAATGGAGGTGATGCAGACAGGGCAGCACAAGCTGCCCAGATGTCACAGGACTCGCGCCGTTTAAGAAAGGAAACATCTCCTAAAAGGGTCCTTTCTAATGCCTGTTGATATTAATGATCTAATATTGGGTCTTCTTCTTACTCATCCTGAGTGGGGACTGTAACACTGTGCTCTGAAATTTGGGAACCATTTTACCTAACAACGACACTGAAGTTACACATCCAAGCTGGTCAGTGGATAGAAATGTCCCCTCCCGGGACGGTTCATCTGTCCCACCTCAGATGCCAACATGACGGTGGGATGAAGTGCCTTCTGAAGGCTCTGGGAGGGGCTCACAGCACAACCCGGGGTTTTGCCAAGACGATTAGATCATTCCTTGCTGCTCGGGGCGAGACTGCACAGCAAGGGAGAGCAGCAGGAAAGGACATAAGCCTTGGCACCCCCTGCCTCTCCAAATGACACCCAGGGACAGGGAGCTGGGAGAGAAGCTCTGCCCTTTCCCGAGCACCTTGTCCTTCCCGTTCGCAGTCCATGAGCACAGAAGACGAAAAATCCCGAAAGAAGACACAAGGACACAAAAAAAAATAAAGCAGGAAAGCCACCAGATGGGGCTCAACACTCGAGAAAACGCTAAGCCAGTCACATACGACACTGGTGACACCGGCGTGACATCCCCAGCAGAGCCCGAGTGGGGTGGAAATGCCCCTGGCACCACCTGCTCTCCCACGGACACCGGCCTTCCTCCCACTCCCCGACATGCCCAATGCCCAACGTACTCGGCATTTCCCTGGAAGCTCCCAACCCCAGACGCTGCAGGATGACATGGGAATCCTGCCTTCCCTTCATGCACGCGAAAAATTAAATACATGTCGTTTAGCTGGAAAGGCAAAGTTGGGGAGAATGAGTTGCAATGGCTCAAGGACAAAGAGAAAAGCAGCATGGAACTGGTTTTTATAATATCAGCAACACAGGGCTGCCAAAACCCAAGGTGGTGGTGCCCATAAGGTGCTGCCCACGGGCAAACACAGCATCACCTCAGAGAGATAGTCACCAAAACTGCCCTGGAGTCTTGCATGGCCTCCCCTTCCCAGGAGCTCCCGCTCCTGCTAGCACATGAAAATTATAACTCCTCTTCTGAAGGTTAAGCCACTAATTTCTCATCATCCCAACCATGGTCAAGGAGGATAATTTATTCATTCTCACTGTGCAGCAGTTTTTTATCTGTTTGCAACTACTTGCCTTGTAAACCATCAGTCTTCTTTACTCCAGACTGAAAAAAAAGCCCAATTTCTTCCCAGTCCCTTCTCACAGCTCACATTTGCTACACCCCTACTCTGCCACACTGCTGTCCCCACCAACTGCCTCCAGTTTTTTGTTGTTTTAAGACTGCCTTTACTTTTCCAAGCACTCCAGGTTGGCAGAACCAAACAGTGGTTTTAGAATCACA